GGACAGATAAACACCCCAGAGAAAACGGGCCACCCTCGCAGAAGCCCAGACCCCTTCCCCCGGGCGGTGGCGAGGCAGCGCCCTCCCCTGCCAGCATCCCAGGCTCCAGCTGAAAATCACTCATCAGTGGCAGAGAGCTCGGTGGTGGCCGGGTTGAGCGGGGAAGCAGGGATGAGGAGCTGGAGCACGGCGGGTGCTCGGGCAGTGCAAGCACTCTGCAGGGTACCGCGACGAGGGACGCATGTCATCGTGCGTTCGTCCAAACCCGCAGACTGCGCAGCACCGAGACTGAACCGCAGCGTCGACTGTGGGCTTTAGGAGATGATGATGTGTCAACGTAGGTTCCCCAGTTGTTAAAAATGCGGCCCTCTGGGGAGGGAGGGGTGTTGACGACAGCGAAGGCTGTGCGTGAGGACAGGCGCATGTGGAAAATGTCTGCTTCCTCCATTCGACTTTGCTGTGAACCCAGAAGGGCTCCAAAAAACGGGGTAAAGTCTGTTCAAATATATAGACACATGTCGACGCAGTTTTACACAAACGCACTGCTTCATGCTTTTGGGTCGCCCTCTGTAAAAGACTCCTTTTGAGCTGATTCCTCCCATTTCTATGAACGTATTATCATTTGCAGGTGTTTCTCCTACTGCCCACATTAACAATCTAGTATAATAATAATTAATAAATAACCTTTATTGAGAACACAAAAAAAAAAACAGACAATCACTCATCATACCAAGATCCCAACGGGTCTCAAACTGAAGGAAAAGAAGGAAAAGATGCCGACAGTGAGGTGACAGAGACGTCAGGGCCATTCCACAGAGATTGTGACGCAGCCAGGATGAGAATGCTTCGACGTGCGATGACAACTATGATGGAAACCAACATCTCTTCTCTGACAGCTCAGCGAACAAACAAAGTCTCGACTACGAAAAAGAATATATTTTTAAATGGAAGTTTAAGGACGAAAAAGTTCAACCGAAATATAAAGCTCAGCGGAGAAGCCTGAACGCAGAACGGAGGGGACAATGGAAAGACGGCGACACGGACGTCAGCGATGATAGAAAATAAACACTAAAGAGACTCGGGGACCAGGGGGCAGAACAGAGCGCGTCCAAGCTGAACGTGGACAGAAAACGTTCTGAAAACAGTAATAGCGTCGCAGAGACCTGTGGGACCATAACGAAAAGTTTATGTCATCAGCGTCCCAGAGGGAGGAGAAATAGGGAGGGGCTAAAATTATTCAAAGATATAATGGCTGAAAACTTCACCAATTTGGCAAAAGACATAAACCTCCAGATTCAAGAAGCAGAGCAAACTCCAAACAGGATAAACCCAAAGAAATCTGGGCCAAGCCACATCACAAACAAATGTCTAAAAACTCAAGACAATGAAAAGGTCTTGAAGTAGCCAGAAAAACAGCATCTTATTACAGAGAAGGAAATGTCAGAATGTGGCCGCCACCCCCACTTGTTCCCCAGAGGGCCCAGACACTGAGGACGTGCCAGACAAATGCATACTCATCGTTACCCAGGGCTGCATGGCTGCTCGCCCGCGGAGGTCTGCTGTGAGCTGGCCGGAGTCCCTGGGGACACCAAGGGCCCTAAATGTAAGCTCTGTGGCCTGCCTCGTTTTCTACAGAATCCAGGGCCTGGCACAATGCCCAGCAGTACCCAGCATAGAGATGGATGGAGAGATGGATGGATGGATGGATGGATGGATGGATGGATGGATGGATGGACGGACGGACGGATGGACGGATGGACAGATGGATGGAGAAATAGAGGAATGGAGGGATGGTTGGATGGATGGTTAGATGGGTGGATGAGTGGGTGGGTGGGTGGATGGATGGAGGAAGGGAGGGAGGAATGGGTGGGAAGGAGAGAGGGAGGGAGGGAGGTATTAACAGCCTCAAGAGAAAAGCATCATGGCACAAGAGAATATTCCTCCCTAATTGTTTTAAAATGTACCTGGTGTTAGGAACAGAAAATATTCTGATACGGGTGACAATTATTTGGATATGGAGATAGATCTATACAGAGACAGAGATGGAGACAGATATATAGATGTGTGTGTATAACAATTCATCAGACTATATACACACTTAGGATCTGTGTACTTTACAATATACAAATTATATCTCATTGAAAAAAAGAAAAAAAGAACCAATTGTTCAAAATAGATAACAGAATTCAACACGACTTTAAAAGGAAGTTATATAATAGCTGAAAAGAGAATTAGAGAATTGGAAGATAAAACAGCAGAAAACTAAATACAGATGAAAAATACAGAAAGTCATTTTAAGAGAAATCTAAAACAAAACACACAACATTTGACATGTGAACAAAGAAGAAACGAGGTGGTAGGTAGATTTAAGGCCCAATATATCAGCAATCACAATAAATGTAAACTAGTTAAATATACCAATTAAAAGACAAATTCTCAAATTGGATAAAAATACAGTCAACTCTATGATGTTTAAAAGAAATAAACGTTAATTTTTTTAAAGACATACTATGCAAACACCAACCAAAGGAAAGTCAATACAGTTATACCGAAACCAAATTAAACTCAGAAGCAAAGAGCATTAATAAAGAGGAATATTTCATGATGACAGAAGGGTCAATCCACCAGGAAGACAATTCCAAATTTATATGCACCTAATAACATAGGCTTAAAATACGTAAAGCAAATATTTACACGAATAGAAGTAAAAACAGATACAACCACAGTCAAAACGGAATATTTTAACAAATATTTATCCAAAGTGGATAGAATAAGCAGACAAAAATATTAGACTCCCCAGATCCTGTCTGCTGGCCAGCTGTGCCCCTCGAAGTCCTCCGTCACCGCTGGCACGACGCTGAGCCTGTCAGAGAGGGTGCCGGAGGGCCACTGGGGAGGAGGTGCTTTCTCTTCACGGTCCCGCTGTGCCCACCTTCCTTCTCACTCCCTTGGCACCCAGCTGGCATGTGTGACACCCAGTGGAGCTCACCTCCAGCAAGTTCCAGCAGCGCCCAGCAGGCCGAGTTCCACAGGCATCGGACCAGTCTCCCAGGGAGCCCAGTCAGCTGCAGCTGGCTCGGCCACGTCCGACACAGCCCCCTGCAAGCAGCTGCCCAGGGAAGGTCCTCGGCACTCCAGCAGGTGGCTTCCTGCCCACTGGCCCAGCCCACTGGCCCAGGGCACCAGAACTTCCCTGCCCGAGCTGGCCGCACCCGGCAAAGGCCACAGTTTCCTGGCGGTACGTGTGGCCGGAGAAGTCATCCGAGGGTCTCCGCATTCACGCCCGCCCATTTAGAAGGGGCACCCCCCTTACCTGGCCAGTCTCCTCCACCTACTACTGACATCTAGTGTTCCTGCACCAATTATGGCTCCTGCGTGGTCCTTGTAGGTCTTAGGGCCAATGACACCCGCCTACCCAGTTCTGGATGTCGGGGGACATGGCTCCCAGGCAGATCCTGAGAGAAAGCACCCCCTCAGCAGTGCTGGGGGAGGCGGAGCCCCTGGATACGGGGGCCTAACTCATGCTGCTCTGAGACGCACTAGGGTTGTCACACCGACCACCTCTCCTCGGGCCCCCAAACAACCCTGACGTCCAGGCCACAGGACAAGCCCACGAAGCCCTCGGTCACCACCAGGCAGTCTCGAGCAGCAGCACGAATTAGGCCATGAGTGGGCTGAGAGTTCTGCCCTGTCATCTTCTGCCCCACCGCTCTGCCCACCCCTTAATGCTGGCAGACCCCGATTCTGTTCTCGATCCACCCCCCAGGAAGCAGAAACCCCGTTAAAGGTGGCTTCGCCACACCCCCAGGGTGAACCTTCCGAGGCTGGCTCAGAGAGGCCCCTGGCTGCATTACCAAGGCCGTCCTCCCTGGAGAATGTCCTGGAGGCTGCGTGCGGTGGATGGTCTGCTTCCCAGACAGCCTCCGAGCCCGTCGGCCCGCGTGCGTGCTGTCGCAGCCACTGCCACTGCCACACGTCCCCAGAACTGCCCGTCCCAGAGCCGCAGGAGCTCTGCGATAAAATGAGATTCTCGGAGGTTCTCATTTCTTCCCTACGACGTTGCTTTCTCGGGAGAGTCTAAGTCAGCTGCCATGCATCTATTTTCTTGAGAGGTTCTAAAATTTCATTACTATCTATAGCATCCTAGTGGACTTGAGCTTTTATAAAAATTAAAATTTCCTGCCATTTTCATTGGCTTTCAGGAAAGAGCTATAGTAAGCGGCCACCTCCAGCTGCACGGAATGCTGCACCACCGCGGGCCGTCAGCTCGGATGCAGGCGACGGACAGGGAAAAGCAGCCAGCGCCACACCGATGCAGCTGGCTGCGAGGCAGAGTGAGGCCGCCTCTTCAGCAGCAGGAGGGACGGGGGTAAGGGCGACGAATGAAGGAAACATGAAAAGCAGACACGGAGACACGCTAAGGATTCGTGGAGAGAGGAATGATCTTTATTCAGCTCGTTCATTCCCCGGTTCATCCCAAAGCTTCACACCTCACCCTCCCACTTTCAAAACAAGTCACACAGAATGGGGGCTCGAAACGCCACGTCCTCACCCCACAGGAACACTGTCACCACCCTTGAAAGCCGTGGGTTGCAAACGCTTTTAGAGGCACGCTCTCTTCAAACCAGAAACCCCCCTAAGTAAAAGAGGCTCATCCCGCAGTTTAACCCTGAGCCACACTGTGGGTGCCTCCCGAGGGCGCCGGGGTCCCCCAGAGCGGTTTCAAACTCCCGTTTTGTACAAGGCCCTCTCTCCAGCTCATCCGACTGTCCGGAGAGCCAGCGGCTTCTACCTGAGACGCACACACAAAGGCTTCGCACGGCCACCTCGGCCACCCATTGAGATAAGCAGTCCACAAAATTAAGGCATTCGGGAGGAATCACAGGGGAATAAAGCGTCTAGGAAAGTCACAGCAACGCGCCAAAGGTGTCCATGCACTTTCAACAGCTCTTCACCCACTCACGGTGGCCGAACCCGCGCTCATCGCCACAGCCGAAAGGAGACGCTGGGGGTCTGCGGTCAGTCCCTTCGGAAGTCCACAGGGACATGGGCCCCGGAGCAGGTCGCACCTCACGTGCCCAACACCAAGAAGCAGCGGGGGGCCGGGGGGGCCACTGTGCAAAGCCCGCAGGCGGAGCGGGACACCGCCGGCTCGGTCACGGCAGCAAACTGTGGTTTACACACGCAAGAGCTGCGCTCACAAATATCACACTCGAACTGAATTTGTGCACGTTCATACGTTACTTGGTAGAAATCTGAAATCAAAGTAACTTTAAAAAGGAGGGGTCCCCCTGCATCCCAGGCACTGAGCAACCGACGACATTTTAAGGCAACAGAAGCCCCTGCCCCCGCCTCGCGTCCCCAGCGTTCGCTACCTGCCGGGGGCTTACAGCGTCCTCGGCACGGCCTGCGCCTCCCGTGGAGCCCTCCTGGGACGTGAACCCGCCACCGCGTAAGCACGCGCACCAAGGGAGTCGCGTCGGGGGAGGGGGACGCGAGGCCTCTGTGAGCCAGGGAAAGAAGGTCATGTGGCCAAAGGAGCCACTTCCAGGAGGGAGATCCGAGCTGGCGGGGAGCCCAGGCCCCTCAGGACTGGTCACCGAGTGCTGGCAAGCGGCCAGGGGAAGAGAAGCAGAACCGCGGGCCCTGGGCCAGAAGACCCCGCGGGCACCAGCGCCGACATCCAAGGGTGCACAGGCGGTCTGGAGAAGCCTCGCAACTTCCTAGGAGTCTCCCACGGGTTCGGGGGTGGCCGCCGCAGGGACGCTGGCTCTGCACTGCCCAACACGGCGCGCGGGCATCTCGGAGGTGGCCCCGGGACCAGCGGGCAGCAGGGCACGATGCCCTTCGACAGCATGCGGGCCGGTACAGGGATCCGAGACGGATTTCTCATCAGCAAGCAGCGCACCCTGCAGCTCGACTGGGCCCTGACTCCGGGTTTCAGACACAGGGAAACCTAAGTTTGCAGCGAGACAAAAGGCAGCCAACATTCTGTTTGACCCATTTTTTTTTTTAATAAAAATATTGCTCTCTATTATCCCCTTCATTACATTAAAGGACATAATCTCAAAATACAAGACAACCTTTCAAGTTGAATAAACTTAAACTCATAGGTGAACACGTGTCCTTATACTTCTGACCTGCACAGGACCAACGTGCCCAAGGCCTATGCTGAAGGGCCCCAGGACTCTCGCTGCCCTATGGGCCGCAACGTCAAGCCCAATCCCCAAGGTCACAGGCTCTTCCAGCACCACCGTCGATCGCCTCAAGTGCATACGCACTGAGAAGGGAGACAATGGTCACAAGGACAGCAGTTTCCATGTCCCACGGACTGCAAGAGTACAAAGCGCTTTCGCAGGCGTGCCCTGCGTGTCCTCACGAAAGCTCTGTGGGAAAGGCACAGCCAGGGGCCTGCCCGTCTGTGGACGGGACCTGCCCGAGGCCACGCGGCAGCAGAGCACAGGCCAGAGTGCACTCTGGCCCATTCCCCTATGCCCAGGGCCACGTTTGCTGCACGCTCCTTTCTGCTTCTGCATGAGCCTTTTACTTGAAGAATCAATTCATGGATAGGAAAAAAAAAAATGACGGCGCTTAGGCCTGGTAACAGAAACATAGTCAACATTAGGAAATTGCTAAGTGTCCTTTCTTTTTAAAACTACCTGTCCAACAAGAGCACGCTGACTAAAACTAACCAAACGTCAAATCAGAACAACAAACACTAAAGAATCGCTGCTTTAAATGCTTTTCTGGAAGAAGACAGGACAGACAGACAAACAGACATATATAAATAACATGATGTGAAAAGGCACAGACGTGTGACGTGGTGGGTTCAGGAAATATATTCAAACAGCCCACCCAGGGAGCCGAAGCTGAACCCTCAGAGGTAACAGCACTGCCCGCGCTCGCCCCCGCCGCCCACCTGTCCACAGCAGCCAAGCCCGGAATGCAGGACTGTGTCGCACTGAAGAGGACATTTTAGGGATTTTCATTAAAAACTAATCAGCCTTCTGTACCGCTTCTGCAAATACGCCTGGTGCACGCAGGGGCTCACTTGCACTTTGTCCTACTTGCACGCTCCACCTAAGTAACAAATGTAACTGTTTGCACCCCAGCAGCTCCTGCTGCCTGTAACAATTTGTAACCCTTAGCCCTTAGCAACTCCCACCCTTCCCAATGTTACCACTTGGAATCTACATAGCAACTCCCACGGTCTGTAACCATCTGAGTTCAAACCAACTCCTCAGCTTGTGTAAAAGTCTTGTACATAAGGAATGTTGCAGCTGCGCTCCCTGCCCCGATCTTCAGAGCACCGGCTCCTCTGGGACTGCGCGCAATAAACCTGAGTTCTCCTTCTCTCCGAGTCACTGCTTGGTTTTTCACTGGCCTGGGTTTGGGATTTTTCCACATTTTTGGAGGCCGCAGTGAGATTCCAACCATGCCGGCCCCTTGAGCCACCGGTGGCTCGGCCGAACCGAGGCAGAGGGGTTCCAAGACGCCTGAGGAGACGCATCGCCTGAACATTCGGGTTCTCTTTCGGATCGGCGCCCTGACTCCCCGGGACGGCTGAGCTGCCCAACCAGACTCATAGGAGGTTAAGACTAATTCACCGGAAACAGCCACCGGAGGGAGGTACCAAGGTAAGACTGAAGAAAGTAAGCTGGCTGAGTCAGGTCCCGGGACAGGCCCCTTCAGGTCCCGCCACCAGACGGAAGACCTGGACGCGGCTTCCTGGTCTTCAGAGCACAGACAGTGGTCAGGGAACCTGACGAGTATCCCAGGTCGGGGGGACGCACCATTCAGCCTGATGGACGAATGAGCTTCCCCGGCGGGGAGGCGTCGGGCTGAGGCAGGACCCCGCTAGCTGAAGAGCATCCGGGGGGAGGGGAAATGTTGTAACCTAATGTGTGACTGTGTGAATGAGCGGCCTGATCAACTTGATCGGTCAGGTACGCGTTTGTAGCCCCACAGGTGGGCACCCTTAAGGTCCCCTGAAGGCCGCGACGTTCGTGTGGGCTCGCTCTGCGTTTCCATGGTGAACGGCATACGGTCTATGGTGGCACCAGACTAGTGTCCGATCGTCAGTCACAAGGCTGAGTCCGCTACGGCTAAGCGTCACCCGCGAGGGGACACGGCCAGACGAGCACTGAATGGTCTCCTCTGTGGAGGGGCATCTGTTTGTCTCCTCCCTTGTCCGTCTTTGCGTCACCGTTGCAGGGTGGGATAAGTCTGAACAACACTAAGTAAAGGGGGAGCTCCATCACCCTCCGGAGGGCAACCACGCTCCCGCCACGGTAGGGGGAGCGGCTGCCTGCTCCCCAGCGCGCGCACTGTTCGGGAACGATGGGAGGCTGTAACGACAGAGAGTGACCGCTGAGGGACTAAGGCGGGGCCTTGCAAAGAAGCAAGAGTTGAGCCCCAATTGCGGTTCCACAGGCGAACCTCATACGGCTTACGGTGGCCCCACTGGATCTCCGTGAGGGGTCTGCTCCGGGAGACCGTGGTCCGGGTCGGGGGTTTAGACCAACCCAGCAATACTAAGAGGCGCCTGAAATTTCCACGAGGGAAGCGGCTGGAGACGGACAAAGCGAGTGGCGTCCCCTCCAAATTTCCCTGACCCCACCTCCCACCCCCTTTGTGGCGTGACTGTCGTGAGAGGCATGGGAGGGACCTCGGATCAACGGAAGGAAAGGAAGAGTTTTTTGGGAACAGGAGGTATAAGGTCTGGTGACCTGTTTGAAGGAAATTAGAAGGTGTTTGCCTCAGAGCAAAAGAGGCACCTGAAGGAATAAGGAAGGTCTGAGAGTTCTGTGGAGATTGTGGAAGGTCTGCGAAGGGAAATCCAATCCTGAGAGGAAATGTTCTAAGAGAAGGTGTGGGAAAAGGTCTGTAAAGAGGTTTGGAGGAGAAAATTCTACACAACTAAGCTAAACGAGACTGGGAATTTAAATGTGGACAGTGAGCTGATGTCAAATTAGAGCCGTGTCTGCTGCTCGGTAGACTCCGTCTGCCACTAACGTTACGAAGAGGTTTCTGAGGAGGAAGACCAGGCTTCTGTACGCTGTCAAGTGAATCTCGGTGATCTGTATCGCTTTAACCAGTTTTGTATTGCTGGAACTTTAGAGAATGTACTAGTAATGGCTGCTGCGCCCAATTTTCAAATGAAGCCACCTCAGGCAAACACGGGGGAGGTTCCGATAAGCCAACTGTGTTAATTGTATGTTGGAAAGTTTGAGAAAGGTTTCTCAGTGAATTACGGGGTCAAGCTGATCCCAGGAAAGCGTCATACTCTTTGTGAGCTTGAATGGCCCACCTTCGGGGTAGGTTGGTCTCTGGAGGGGACCCTAGACCTCTCCACAGTGAGGACAGTATACCGGGTAGTGACAGGCACCTCTGGACATCCAGACCAGTGGCCGTACACAGACACGTGGCTGCAGGTCGCTACTGGTGCTCCCCTGGGTCTGGTCTGGCGCGAAGAGGCAGGGACAGAGTGAGGTTCTTGTGGCCCAACCGACTTAAGAAAAGAATAAGAAAGTGTCAGCAAAAATGACCCACCAACGGGACCCCGGGGGAGACCCACGTTCCTCCTACCGCGGCACATCTCAGCAGCGCGCCGGTCCCCACGCAGCCACTCTCCTCGGTTATCAGACAGCCCCGCGCGGCGACCTCACTGCTGTCAGTGCCAGCGCTGCTCGACGCGCCCGACCCGCCCCAAGGCTTCCGGCCCGGCACCAGGTCCTCTGCCAAGTTCAAGTTCAACTCCTTAGATCATTCCGCCTGGTAGGGAGGGCCAATGTCTCGTAGAAGGCGCAGGCCCAGCTCCAGGGCCGGCTCCACAGCATGTTCCGAGTCCGCGACTCCTCCACCTGCCCCGGAGACTGTGTGCTGTCCGTGTCCGAGAATTCATGGGTCTCCCACTACCCCGTCAACTCGCTATCCAACCAACCACTGTTTTAAGATCGAGGGCCTAGAATTTGACAGCTTGCCAGCCCAGATAGAGTTTTATGACTCACTACCTGAACACCGCCACTGCAACGGAGCCCGCGCCCAGGGATCCAAGCCCATCGGAATATGTACGAACTCTCTGTGACTTTCCTGGAAATAGTGCTCCTTTAAGAAGGGAGAGATCCTGGTAATAACAAAGAAGCCTGAAGAGCAGTGGCGGAGTGCCCGGAACAAGCACGGCCAGGTTGGGATGACTGCCGTTCCTGTTGTCGAAAAGCTTGTGAGATCCCCCCCACATAGAAATAATGCCGAAAAGTCCAAGTTAGCCACCTCCCAGTAACAACAACTGAGGAACAATCAGACTAGGAATAGCCAAGCTCCCTGATCCTATGCTCCCTGATCCTATGCTCCCAGGAGCCTATGGTCACAGCAGAACCGGGGAGGTGGGGGGGAGGGCGAGGGGGGTTGGGCACCAATCAATGACTTTTACAGTAGATACTCAATACCACAGCCAAACACCAAGAAAGGAGTCCATAAGTTCTTAGGAGCAGCTGGATTCTGTCAAATCTGGAAACCAGATTTCTCTAAGATTACCAAGAACCCACCATCAGGAAAATCCATGAGTCCGTGTGTACATTTAGTGTCTGAAATAGTTCAGACCTTGTCCACCGCTCTAGGAAGCTCCAAGAGTTGGGACCTGAACCGCAACCCCGCAGGCCGACTTGGTACCAGAGGTCTTTAAGGTGTCCAATCACTGGGACTGGGCAGAAAAGGAAGCAAAGTACAGAAAGGGCGCAAATTTTAGCTGCCATAATACAAGGACCATCTCGAGGTGACCGTAGGCAATAAAACCCTTGCAGGCCTGGGGGGCCTTGATCTTGGTTGGCCATGAGTGGCACTGTTGGGACTGAGGCACAATCAATGTGCAAACTGCAGAAGGAAGGGCATTGGAAGGGCGAGTGTCCATCCAGCCCTGGGAAGCCGGGGAGGGTGGACCTCATAAGCCCCTGCCCC